GGGCGCTCTGCTGCTGCTGCTTCTTCTACTTTGATCTTGACCTGCTCCTTGATAAGAGCGTCGATTACGTTTCGCTGCTCGTCCGAGAGCTGGAGCTCATTCAGCTGCTGCTCCATGATTTCCGTGTCACTGTTCTCTGGCCGAACCCTTTTGTAGCTAGCCCCATCTCGGGATCCCGTATGATATATTACGCTAGCGTGTTAGGATAATCCGAACTGGGGGTAGCTTGTCGCAAGACGTGTGTTGAATAGGGTATCGGCAACTCGGCGAACTTGCGCCGACGAGAAAAACTTGTTGTGATTAGGTGCATCCACATACACACGAACAAGCCCCGTTGAGGGGACGACGCCGTATACAACAGGGGTACCTTATACATCCCTGGAATCCATTCTACGTACCACACATGTCACCCGGTATTCCGCTCTACCTCATTCCATCGGAACATCCAGCACCAACCACTTGGCATTGCTACAAGTATATATATCATCCATGGCTCTACGGGCAACGGTTGCCCACATTTGCTGCTCGTTGGGAGTCCTCGCTCTGCCCAGGCAAACTTGCAGACCCGCATCGCATTTGCCATCCCCTCCTAGAGTATGCACACCAGCTCCAGCCGAGGGGGTGATAACCCTCCCACCTTGTGTCAATGTTGAGCTGCACTTCAAGCTGAGCGCCTGAGGCCCATCAATGTGCTTCTGTACCCTCCGACCCAAAGCACTCGGTGGGGGAGCTAGCTCCTGTCTCTTGTCAACTCGCAACACACCTTGGTGGTTCGAGTCCGAATCCAAAGCAGGGGTGTTCATAGAGCTCGTGCGAAAAATCGCTAGGAGCAAGAGAAAAAACGGCCTCATCACCGTGTTTCTGCTTGCTGGACTGCGGTCTCTTTCACAGCGCGGGCTGGGTGCTCAGCAACGTTGCAACTCCCAAGCTTTTTTTTTTTTGTGTAGGGGACGCTACTGCTGCTGTCCCCGCCGTTCTTTTGTTCCTTTTCGACGGTCTACTCGTCCAGTCCAGCCCCAGTCGACGCAGGCGTCCACAGCTCAGTTCGGGCTCAATTCGGTTCGATAAACGTCGCATTAAAGAGTCATCGGAGCTGGGAACGGAGCTCATTCGTGGGTGTAGTCACATAGGGTTTACAACAATCTCCACCCACACACAGAGGTTACCCTCAACTGGGAACCTCTTGTGGTCAGGACGGGCGATTTGGTGGAAGTGTAACAAGGTTTTTTGTAGAATCGACTCCAAGAGAGAGGTGCTCTCGGGACTGACACACATACAATTATCCTCATTTCGTCCATGGGAAAATAAATGTCCAAGTCAGGAGAAAAAACGTGCACCCAACGAGACTCGAACCAGCATCTATCATCATTCTGCTGACCGACTCTGGTAAAAAGTCAACCGACGGATACCCTGCCATTCGGGCCCGTCCTCCTGTACACTAGGCTTAGGTAGGCCACTCCGCTCGCCTCTTCACGCTTTGGACATACATGCCGAAAGAAGATGACAATACTGCCGCAAGCATCAAGACGAACCACCCGAGCTTAAGAGGGGGTATAGTAGGTAGCAGGGCACGGTCAAATCGTCAGACAAAACGTCAGCCGGAGAGGGGGGGTAGTATTTACCGTCATCTGGAGAGGGGAGGTCTTATTTACCATCAGCCGAAGAGGCGGGATGGTACGTGCCGTCCGCCCGAGAGGGGCGGTAGTATTATCATCAGCAGCAGCTCGGAGAACGAAAAATTGCTCCCTCTTTCTGGTGTGCCTCTTTGCTTTTTTTTCGAGCAGGCAACTCAAAAGCGTGTGCGATGGAGGTGGCCAGACACACTAGTACATGTGCCTCTCTCCAAGGAAGGAGAGGTATGTAAACGCTGCCGCCGTCAACTGCCGCCGCCGCTAGCTGCTAGCAAGAATGGGCGACCGAGACCCAACCAAACGTTTATCTCTCCTCTCGCTTTTCCTCCGCCGAAGCTAAGGGTGGTTCTTATCGATCGAAAAAACACGGAATATTCTACGGAACCGTGTTTTCTTGGACATGTATGGAGGCGTTTTTCCCCGAAATCGTGAAAAGAAGGAGCCGGGATTTTTTGGGGCGTGCTCCTTTCACGGTTCCGGGGAAAAACGCCCCGCTTTTTCCGGGAAGCCGAAGCAGACACCGGTCACGCGTGCTGCCTTCATCACACCACACCTAGACAGCACCCACAACACCCCAAAGTGCTTCCCACGGCAAGTCGACCACCATGGCTGAGCGCGGGAAGCGCCAGGATCCCACAGACCCCGCAGCGCAACGCCGGGAGAAGCGCCGTCGACGAGCTATCGACGAAGAGAATGCAGCACAGGAAGACAAGAGATTCACGGTCCTGGGTCTTCTGAGGGCCGTAGTAGTGGCGGCGGGCGTCGTGGCAGCAGGAGAAGCTCATCGTGCCCACTGCCCTCAGGAACGGCAGCCCATCTACGAGCCCAAGCGACTTCCGTGGGCCCAACACGAGGCAGACCTCGATAAACGGAGCGGCTGGCGGCGGTCGTACCGCATCGNGTCGACGAGCTATCGACGAAGAGAATGCAGCACAGGAAGACAAGAGATTAATGGTCCTGGGTCTTCTGAGGGCCGTAGTAGTGGCGGCGGGCGTCGTGGCAGCAGGAGA